AGACATATGTAAGTTGTATGTTTTTGCACAATGATTAGTTGTTTTTCACTCATCATTCTTGAAAAGTCAATACAAAAACTTAAGAGAAGAAGCCACATGTCTTTCTAAGGTAGACGCTCATGGATGTTGGGGATTCTTTAGCTGGTTGATTGTGGCACCTACACAGGCAGAGCACGGGTGAAAAAAACACATCGGCCTCATTCTGATGCATAGAAACTGATGACAGTATTATTACCCAAACTGTTGCTTGAGAGAAATTGAATGAATTTGGTTCTAGCTCCTGAGCTAGATGAATCAGAGTGGTTGACCAAGTGGTGTACTCATGGGAAATATGTCAGAAGCATATACAGTTAAGAAATAAGTAGTAGATATTATTAGAAGATAATTATCCATCGGTTTCCTATGTATGCACATGTCTTATGGGCAAAAAGCATGAGCAGCTTTTGTTCTGGAATGCCTTTTCATAGATGTTTGTGTAAAAAAAAGAGCATCGGAAGATATAGATAGTGTCACCTTTTGGGGCAGGGGACAAGTACAGGGAAATAAGATGCTCCAGCCAAGGAGCAATACCCAAATGACAAGAATTTTGGAGATTGCTGGAGAGAGTTAAGCTTTAGTGGGGACCTAAAATTGCGTAGGCTTATCTGGGAATAGATATGCAAGAGAGAGGACATGAAGTAGTTTTTAAAAAAGAGAAAGAAGATCCCATGCTACCTCAGTTTTTATTCTAACAAATTCTTCAAGCTACAAGTTAGCCAGATAAAAAGAGTGCATACTGTATGCTTCTATTCATAAAATGCAGACTAACCTACTATCAGAGGGCAGTTCAGAGGCCGCTTGTTTTATAATCCTGGCAGGGTAAGGGGCATGGTGGTGATGAAGCTGGAAAGATGGGTCACAAAGTCCACCTTTTCTGTTCACCTTGTGATCGCTGCATCCCTCCTACCATCTCACTTTTCCGTATCTTGTTTTTCTTCTAAACGCACTGGACCTGACAGTTCCACTCCTACGTCTCCAGAGACCACTTGTTCTGCGTTCGAGACACTGCACTTCCCCTACGATGGCCGCGCCCACGATACTACACAGCTACAGAGCCCCGCCCACTTACTGTTTCTTTCTTTCTTTTTTTTTTTTGGCCAGCTTGCTTAAGCTTTTATACGGCCTCTAAAACGTTTCGCATTTAGAATAGTGATTGAGGTGCCCAGGAGGTTAATTTCCCACCGAATTAAGACGTCACAGCCGTAAGGGCTAAGAATGTATGTCGCGCCTGTGGTAGTGATGAGCTCCCGTCTTCGAAAACCAAAGAGAAGGCGACCGTCTTATTTCTGTGCCCTGTCCGTTCACAAGACTTCAATCCCACTCCGTGTTTGCGTTGTGAGAACTCATGCCTCTGACAAGCTCTCCATTTGCCACCAGAGCCGAAGTGCTCGCAAATAGGACCGTCCCGGACGCCTCTCGCAGGTCACAGGCGCCAAAGCAGCCTCTGCCTTCCGTACGCCCCGGTATTCAAAGATGGCCGCCCCCAAGCTCCGAGGCGACGCCGGCGCGGGCATATGACCTCATAAGGAAGAGCCGGAAGCCAGTGCACTGTTCTCATAGAAACGCAGCGCACCCTCATCGGAGATTTGCTGAGGAAAGAGCCGGGCAAGGCGACCTTAAGTGGAAGAAGTTTAGGGAAGTAAGTTCAGGCCTTAAGAGCTACCGGCTCAAGAGAGAGTCAGGTCAGTGCGTGGGTCGGTCCGTGGGTCGGTCCGTGGACAAGGCGGAGAGGAGGAGCGCTCTGAGGGCTGCTACGTGGGTTTTTGCTAGTGCGAGGCGGTGGAGGTAGCGCACGGGGGTGGCTGTTTTTTGCGAGGGGAGCAGGTAGGAGTCAGCAATGGCATTTCCGCGATGGGATGTCTTTGGGAGTCAATCATGAGAGGCTCTGGTGGTCAGTGATTAAAGGTCTGAACAGATGAACGACCGAGAAGAGTCCTAAGGTCAGCGATTAGGGTCTTTGCAGGTCATTCTGCCTGTAGGACGCACAGATCTGAGAACTGGTGGGATGGTGTTTGCCGTCGAATGCGCTGTCTGTTTCGGATTCTGGGTTAATTTGCGGTTCAGTGATCCAGGAAGTATTAAGAGAGGTTAGTGTGCGTGTGAATATAGTCCAAGTTTTCATGTTAATCTGGTGGGGTCTTTTGCGTACCCATGATTAAAAGCTGAAGACTTGGAGTAGGAGCCCTGGCTGGTGGTGTCTCTGTGTGTTAAGCTCAAACTTAGGCGGCTGGATGAACGTTAACACTCCCTAAAAGCTTCAGGTCCAAGTCCTTCCTCCATGACAAATTTTCTAATCCTCTTTGGCCCCCTACAATAACCCATCCTCTTGAAGCCGCAGAAATTAAAGGGTTATTTTGGGGAGGGTAGGGGGAGGAGAGAGAGATAAACGATTCACCATCTCTGAAATTAATACACTTCTACTTGAGAGTCTGTTTTTATCCTTCCTCTTGCAAGTTTACTGCATATTTTTTAATGGGTGTTTCCTTTTAGGTTCTACAGGTGAATATATTAAGGTTGCTATTTTCCCAGCATTTATACTTTTGAATTGTTCTTTTACATTTATATTTATACCTCATATTCCTTCTCTCTATTCTCTTCCTCTTTTTGGTGCGTTCATTGTCCCTCATATTGCAGTCTGTATATAAACAATTTAAAAGTATATATGAAGACTTTTAAAGAGGTATAAAGGTAACATAATTCAAAGGAAAAATTTACAATTCCTCACCATTCATATGGTCTCATTTCTAAAATTGATCTGAGAATTACCTGCTACTGAGGCATGATGCTGTGCTGATTCTCCTTTGACACCTCTCCTTTCACATTCACGCTACTTCCACACTTCACAGGAGACGGGCATTCCTCCCGCACATTGAACGTCTTCCATGTCATTGGCCAGAGGGAACCAAATAAAGAGACAGAAATATTCAGGGCCATGCGTTAAGGTGAACGTACAGCAAGAGGGAATGTACCCCTGAAAGTTGTTTTGCTCTTTAGCCCACAGGTCCTGTCTACCGTGGGGAGAAGCAAGAAGTGAATGAAAAGAGGAGGTTCCAGGACCTAGAAATCATCATTTCTGGGGACACCCTTGACCAGTGACTGAGCCGCTCACCAGAACTTTAGGACATATCCAGAAGAGACAAGATAGAGTAGCCCAGTTGCTGGTCATTTCCCACAACAGAAGAAAATGATCAATGCCCAGGTGACTTTTGTCTGTTTTATTCTCTCCTTTCTTCCTTAATGGATTTGTATAGGCCCATAAGAAATCATTTCAGAGTCTAGAGAGAAAGAAACTTGGAATCTAACTCCAACATCATGGCGAAGTAGGATCAGGAGTGTAGTGTTCATATGATTCCTACTAAATGACTGATGTTGGAACATAATGCATGACTAGGGGATCTTTTGGTTTATATTAGCTGTGACCTTGTGTCTGATATTGACAGCCAATACAAGAGAATCATGCTGAGCTATATGATACACAGTGACTGTGAGGAGAAAGCAGATTCCTCAGGGGATGTCAATATTTCATGGCACTTAGGTCTCAAAAAAAATTTGACAGTTTTCCCAGAGATGATATGGTGGACATAGTTTTGAACTAGCCTGTTAATAAAGGCAGAAGAAGATTTCTTACTGCTGTTTATAACAGGGTTCTTCAGAGACTCCTATGGGAATAGACTAAGTAAAAATTGGACACAATTTCTCAGGGGACCAACGCAAGGACTCTCAAAGGACTCAGCCTTGTGCCTCAATGGCATAGGAAAATGGAAAGATTGTATGGTTTTCACCGGTCCTGAAGAGGTGGCTGAACCAGCATTTAAGTATAGATACAGATATGGCATTAGGGAGTTGCAAGAAATGTTGTCTGGTGAGGACTTGAGTTGTTGGGTGCCGTGGCATTTGCTTTATAACTTTACCTCATCTCAGAATATACAGAATCCTTCCACATTTGCAAATCCAATTCTCACCTACTTTTATTGCTTTTATGTTTTCATAATTATACAAATTACTCATGGATACATTTTAAAGGAAAATAATTCTAATGAAGTACACACTAGCAAAAAAAATAAATTTCCTCTTTATAACTTCCTTACTAATCCCCTATATATACACTATATATTATTTATATATATATATTATGTATGGTAGTATATATTATACTTGCTGTCACTGAACTGTGTGTTCGTATACATATGTATATGTACTTACATATGTATATGTATT